GAATCTACACAAGAACGTTTATCTTACTTAAATCGCTTTGAAAAACACTAACATCATTAAAGTGCTGTTAAGGTTTAGGGATAAGGTTCGGGCTGGAATACATGGCTGGAACGTCTATTACCGTGGGACGGTCGTTGGATTTCATCCACAGCCCGGTGCGTAGCATAGGAACGCGGAAGGTTGTCTTTCGCGTTCCCATGGAATACCTCGGATGTGACAAATCGTTGGTATATTACGCCTCGGGAGTGAGAACGTTCTGACATTCATCAAGTCATGCAAACAACTTGAGGTCCCGGCTGTACCATTTTCTTTCTGTGAGAGGTCAGACGTCTGCTACAGCTCCTTTTTACTTTAGTAACATAAAGAACATGTGGAAGGTAATTAGCCAATACTCAAACAACGACAATAACATTTAGAGAATTAAAATAAGAAAAAGTAGATTAAGTCAGACACAAAGAATTGATATCATAATTTAATGAGCACAGAATTTGTAAATAAGTCATTTACTAATACTTAATAGACAGTATGTAAGGTTTAAGGTAACTATTGTCTGTCTTATCAGGTATCACAGAATTCTGAAGACATGGACATTTTCCCTTAATGATTTAATTTATGTATAAAGCATGAGTAAATGATGTATTAGCTATTAATAAAGCCAGTAATTCAAATGCAGGCGTCTCTTTATGAAGGCACCAAATTAAACTAAGATGAAGTGACACTGATTTTCACCTAGCCTGAGTTTACCTCGTCTATTCAAACATTAAGGAAGCATTTAAGGCAACACCCTGCCCCCACCTCTGCTCGTCAGACCATTTTTCTGTTATGCTGCTTCCTGCATAGACGTGCTTAATAATCAGAGAAACCCCCACTGTGAAGCAAGTGCTCTGCAGCAGCCACGGAAGCATTAAAAGACTGTTTTGAATGTGTCGACGGATGTGTTCAAGGCATCTGCAACTGACTGTCGCAACGTACAAGTGTAGATGAGTACGCTGAGTTAGTGTCTCCATAAATGTGGAAATATGTGGACGATGTCTTTGGTTTTGGGCTGTTCCTGGTGACAAACTGTGGATGACCGAGGGGTGCTTGCAATGAAAGCACAAAGTGACGGTTTTAGGTCTGATGTGATATGATGGCTCCCAGATCAGCAAGACCCAACTTGAACTATGCCATAAGAGCGACGAAGCATGACTTTGGTAAGAGAATACAGAAGTTCTTCCATGACCATGCAAACAAGAGACGAATGTGGCAGAGAATCAACGCCATCAA